ATATATATATATATATATATATATATATATATATATATATATATATATATATATATATATATATATATATATATATATATATATATATATATATATATATATATATATATATATATATATATATATATATATATATATATATATATATATATATATATATATATATATATATATATATATATATATATATATATATATATATATATATATATATATATATATATATATATATATATATATATATATATATATATATAGAGAGAGAGAGAGAGAGAGAGAGAGAGAGAGAGAGAGAGAGAGAGAGAGAGAGAGAGAGAGAGAGAGAGAGAGAGAGAATTTTTCGGTTATAATCTAAAAAAGTAATAATTATAACAGCACTATTATTTACGACAAACCTTAATACTGCTACATAAAAGCTAAATGTGTGCTATATGACGATGTCAACGCAATCTGTTGGATGCACCTGGACCCCATTTTTTGTTTCCCGGTGGAAGGCAGTGATCTTTCGGACATCCTTGTAATTTCATTCTTACTATAAGATTTTTACTCCTCAAAAGTGATATGGGTGCTGCCTTGGTCGACAATAGTCAGCTCACCCACGACAGTCCTGAACTCGAGACTTGTTCCGATGGGAACCCGTGAACCGTGTCGGTGGAGACTGATTTGTTTGGGATAACCAGTGAGGTATTGGTGATTGTACCCACGTAACCCGGGATGGACCAGTTGAATTACTATATGGAATTAACGTCCGTCTGTCCTTTAAGCTAAGACTTGTTTTTACAATATATTAATGTCCTGTGTGAAAGCGACACTGTGTAGTTATACTTCTGAAGATAATATATTGGTGAAGGTGTAATTGTGTCTTGTTTACCTTCTTTATTCTTTGCACAATTACTTGCTACCGCCAATTCTTGAGAACTTACCATTGACTTGGGGTGGGATCATAGAAGAAGAGGCTTAAAGTCAAATTACAGAAAAACCCGGTTTCTTGCTCTAGCAGACCGTAACACTTGTTATAGGTCAAGCCTTCAGGTGGAGCCGGCCAGCGCGTTGCAGCGATCGGCCAGTGTCTTGTTGGAGAGTTAAAGTGGCGTGTTGACACTTTGATGATACTGTAGAGAACTGGTCAATGATTTACTGAGAAAGGTTACCTGGTTGATTCCTGGTTGATGGGGTTCTGGGAGTTGTTCTACTCCCCAAGCCCGGCCCGAGGCCAGGCTCGACTTGTGAGAGTTTGGTCCACCAGGCTGTTGCTTGGAGCGGCCCGCAGGCCCACATACCCACCACAGCCCGGTTGGTCCGGCACTCCTTGACTCGTGAGCGTGAGTACCATAGATGAAAGGCTCAGGGAGGGTACCTTGAGTGTTGTTCGATAGAAGATAAAAGTGGACTCTCCGGGATATAAGATCGTAGAAGTTCTAATGTAGTGTCCTGTGTGAAAGTGACACCTTCGATGTTATGTCCATACATAAGAAGTGTATGTAGTTAGGAAGTATAAATGGTGATGGTTTTGTTTAGTGTTGTTTGCTCCCATTCCCGTTGGATTGACTATTACTGCCAGTTCTCAATAACTTACCTAAGCCTCGAGGTTGGATAAGGTAGGAAGAGGCACTAAGGCCCCATAGAAAGTTTGAACAGGAAGAACATGGTTACTAAGTGGGACTGTAACATAATTTGCATCCCCAGCGAGATCTGACTTCTTGTCAGGTAAGTTAGACTGGATTAGGCCAGTGATTAGTGCAACCTTCTTGCACAGACTTCTTTTTGTGTTTAAGTGCAGTATTAAGAGAGTGAGCAATGGCGGAGAAAACATCAACTGATACTGGGCGATGTTCAGAGATTCTTAAACCAAGAGAATTGTCTCTCCAAATTCAAGTGCTTAGGAAAATAAGAGCTAGTGTTGGTAAGTGCCTGGAATTAATAGTGAAAGAAAGTGATTCATGTGTCGAGATCCTCTCGAAAGTGTCTTGGCATTTGAAATCAGACGGCAAACTGGAGAGTGTAGTCCGTAGCAAAGTAGCGACTGTCATGGAGTCTACTAACGAGGAAGACCAGGGAAGTGATGGTGACAGTGACCCATGTGAACTATATGTGATCCTATTGACAATGAAACTGCCAGAATTAGAAATAAATTGTGAAATCGAATTGAACAGATTAGAGAAAGAGAAAGGAGAGAAATGGAAGAGGAAGGAAAGAAATGGAAGAGAGAGAAATAAGAAAGAGAGAAAGAAAGACAAGACAGGAGATAAATGGAAGAAAAAGAAAGACAGGAAAACGAGAAACAAGATTTTGTTTCATTTCTTCCATTTTCAACAAGAAATGAACTTCCATTTCCAACAAGAAATGGAAGTGCTAAGATTAGGTGGTAGAAGAGAATCCAATGGTTTCGACCCAGCGAAGAATATAAAAATAGTGGCAAAATTCAGTGAGATGGAGGTGTCAACGTTCTCTGCTGCCTTCTAGATAGCTTCTGCCTCATTAGACTTGTCAAGGGACAATTGGGCTATTACGATTCAATCATTGCTGTTTGGGAAGGCCCAAATAGCGTACTACACATCTTCAGTAAGTGAGTCGATTGAATATGACGCTGTCAAGAATGTGGTGATGATGGCTTTCAGTTGGTGCCTGAATCATATTGGAAGAAGTTTCGTAACCATAAAAAAAAACAGCAGAGCACATACCTTTTTAAGGAGTTCAATTACATTAAGGAGCGTTGTTGTGTGTGTGTGTGTCTCAGAAGATTGAAAATAAGGAGCAGCTGGAACAACTTGTCCTTTTAGAAGATTTCTGGGAGTATCTATCGGGTGATCTGAAAACCTACTGGGAGGAAAAGCATGTAGAGACTTTGGATGTTGTAGCAATCATGGCTGAAATTTAATTTTAACCTATTGGCCCTCTACAAGATATATTTCAAAGACCTACTCAAAACCTTTAACCAAATATAAGCAGGAGGAGATAACCATCCCCCTAGGTGCCATGAAGAAACCCGCAGGTACACCAAGACGTATTATGTGAGTGAGAACGTGAGTACACTTGAACTAATAACTCCGACACCAAATGTTTTGTTATTGACGAGAAAAACACTTATCTCGGGTATACAAATATGTGGGATTTAAGTGATGAAAAATGTCGGACTTACGAGACGAGGAAAGTCAGACTTGAGGTCTGAGGAAGGTCGGATTTCAGGGATCTCCGGTTGCTTCCTTGATAATCACCTCCAACAGAGTACTCATGCATTTTAAGTTTTGTCATGAAGGCGAAAATAGAATGGTCAATTTGAGGTCCGATTTTTTACATCATCGAAATGATTAACACAAATCCACGAGTGACGCTAAAACTCATCATAAAACTGCGTTCCGTGATTCATTTTGCACCTCCATTACTCTTTGTTAAAATCTGATCTCAATTCTCCCTTTTCAATACACACAAGCCCCAAAATATAATTGTAAGTATAAAGTATAGAAAGATGGTTTATTGTTCAGGTGGAGAGAGAGGTTACTGCGGCCCCTCTACCGCCACAGTCGTGGTGCAGCGACACCACACTGCTGACGACAATGTGATAACAACCTCAATCTTTATTTTGAACCACAGTTAAATACCTGCGAGTATGTTAGAAGGTCCTGGTAGTTCAGTTGGGTTCGTTCTCGACTCACAATAGAGAATTCCGGGTTCGAATCCAGGGAGGGGCAGAAATGGCACGGCGCATTTCCTATCTACTAATCTAATAAGAACATAAGAATGAAGGTAACTTCAGATGGCCTATTAGCCCATACGAGGCAGCTCCTATTTATTACCACCCAATCCCACTCATATACATGTCCCTGTTCACCTATCTTGAGAGGATTTCAGGGCTTAGCGTCCCCGCGGCCCGGTCCTCGACCAGGCCTCCTTTTTGTTACACAACCCCAGGAAGCAGTCCGTACCAGCTGTTTACCTAAAAGGTACCTATTTACTGCTAGAGGAAAACAGGTGCATCAGGGTGAAAGAAACTCTGCCCATTTGTTTCCTCCTCAACCGCGGTTCGAACTCGGAACCTCAGGACTACGAATCTGAAGCGCTGTCCACTCAGATGTCATGCCCCTGCTTACCTAGCAGAAGTAGGTACCCAGGAGTTAGTCAGTTTGTTGTGGTGTTAAATCCTGGTCGGGGTCAGTAATTCGACCTTGGTGGTGGGGCGGAAGGGGAGGACCTTGATATAAGCCTAATGTGTATGAATACACTCTGGCTTCTTGTCCCCCGACACAATGAATTATTATTAATATATAGCCGTTTCCCTGTATTATTTTGAAACAATGAGCTTTCCACTCTGGACTAATATGTTTACTAGGATGGTTCCAGTAATCACTCCAGGGTAAGCGGTGACCTCTTGACTACAGTTCAGATACACTTACGTTTCGTGAGTAGTTACCCCGCGGGAGTGGCTGTGACCTCTTCACTACATAACACGTTATGGTTCGCGAGTGTGGCAGGAGTTAATAGTATTATAAGAGACGAGCCTACCCCACAATGGCAAATGAAAAAACAAACTCATTATTCTTAAACTTCAAAGTCACCTCGTTGTTGTAGTCAAATATACTTCACTATGTCCACGAGTTCTATGGAATATGTTAAAGCAATCTAGATTTATGTTTGTATAATACGTCTATAATCAGAACCTGAGAGGTTATTTTTAATACAACTATTTATGCCTGGTATTTAGTGTTACTGAAGCAACTTGCTACAGTTAGAGTGTATCCGAGTGGAGAGTATGAACAGGAATTTATACATTTTTAGGTTGAGTCATCAAAAATTCCTTCCCCCTGTCCCATCTGAAATCCTTATTATGTGCACTTCTAAGTACTATATAATTGTAATGGATTGCCACTTTCCCCTGATCACCTTCCCTCATCAAAAGTTCATGGTGTTTTAACAGTTGAAAACATATATTCTTGGCTCAATTCCCAGCATTTTGTCTCGATGCCATTAAATTTGTTTTTTAATCACACATGCAACATCAACAGACGGGGGTGTGAGGGTGTACCGGAGGTGTCTGTACTGCAACAACGGGGACCCGGACGTCCAACTTCTCCCCAACTTGAACATCTACTCACCCGACTTTCCCGGGGACGACCTCTTCCAAGGTAAACTATCACTATAAGAAACTATATAAAGCTCTCTGCCAGCATTTAGCTTCTCAACTTTACGTTTAATTATGGTTGAAAATGCTCAAGAGTGACCATCACAGTAACTGTAATCTAAAAATTTCTCATAAATGTTCTTCTACCATCTTAAAATGTACAAACTGTACAAAGGAATCACATTTCTAATGACGAATCGTGTGTTGTGCTAAGTACTAATAGCATAATATTAACGCTATAAGAGAGAATGTTTGTCTGTTCAAAGTTGGAGACCAGACGCCTCAACCATATTGGGAGAGGGAATGGTCTGGGGTACACGATGAATATAGGCTGGTCGGGCTCGACAGAGTTGAAAAGGAATAGGTGTAATGGTCACATTCAGACGCCAAAGACTATTTTTGGCACTGCCCATTGGCTATGCAGTTAAATATTTTGAAAACAAACTTAACTAGGTTCAACTAATTCCTTGTAATATAATTCCTTGTAATATAAATCCTTGTAATATAACCACCATTGGTCACTGATCTCAGGAAGATAAACATAAATTTTCCGTGAGCCAGTAGTCCACTATGGCTGACAATAGCCATGTAACTTGGAACTTTTGTTTCGAGTAGCTGAATCTAAAACAACAACAGCTTCAAAGGTTTCTCACACTACACCGTGTCTCAGAGTAGTAGTAGGCACCCTTCAGTCTTGAGAGACTATGGAGTTGTGCTCAGGATGTCAGTCCTGGTGCAGCGTCTGGTGTTACTTATGAGGCCAATCAAAGAATGTCAATCCATCTCACAGTGTGAACAAGCGAAGTCGGATTCTGGTCTGTCTTCCTGGCTACCGGCTTTTCATCTCTGTCTATTTGCCTCCGATTACTTGGCAAGTGTCTCCTCGAACCTGGAGAGGCCTTTCTGCACAGATTTCCTCCTGTCTGATCGGTCTGCTGCCAGTGTTTTCCACGTTGCAAGATCGACGTCCATAGCTTTCCGGTTCCTCTTGCTTACATCTTTGTACCGTAGTTTGCCTGTTGGACGTTTTCCCTTCGTCATCTCTATGTACAGGAGAGTTGACGTATCTCTTGAAAATCCTGCCGTCGCCCATTTGCATCACGTGCGTGAGCCAGTGCATTCGTCTCTTCACAATCATTCGTCTCTTCACTCTTCCCACTCGCTTCATCATTGTGTACATGCTGAGGATATTAGCTCTTCCTAGGACGCTGTTGTTTGTCACCCAGTTCTGCCAGGTGAAGTTCAAGATGTGACGGTGGCAGCGCATGTGATATGCATTCCGCTTTCTTTCCTGTCGAATGCGGAGTGTTCAGGACTCACTGCCATATAAACTTATTGCTGGTCCATATTCTCTTTGTTATTCTGGACATGGTTGTAGATGCCATACTGATGCATTTGTTGAGCTCCGTGTCAAGAGAGACGGAGTCAGAGATTGTGAAGCCCAAGTGCACGAAGTCGTGGACGACTTTCAGTTTGTAATCAGAGATCCCGATGTTAGGGGTGGAGTCCACTTCTAGTCTCCATGACCTGTGTTTTCTTCAGGCTGATGGTGAGTCCGAAAGCCTGGCAGGCCTCGCTGAAGTGAGTCATGAGCTGTTGGAGGTCTTCAGCTGAGTGGGCCGTGACTGCTGCATCGTCGGCAAAAGAGAAGTCACGCAGACACCTCAGCCGAACCTTTGACTTGGCTCTTAGCCTGGCGAGGTTGAAGAGCTTTTCGTCCGACCTAGTCAGGAGGTAGATGCCTTTTTTGGCAGATCCGAAGGCGTGCTTCTGGATAACTGTGAAGAAAGTTCCGAATAGGGCTGGAGCCAGAACGCAACCCAACTTTACTCTGCTTCGGATGTTGAAGGCATCTGATGTTGATCCGTGAAAGACCGCGGTGCCCTTTATGTTCTCGTGGAAAGATCTGTTGATGATGAGGAGCCTGGGTGGACATCCGATCTTTGAAAGAATTTTGAACAGGCCCTCGCTGCTGACGAGGTTGAAGGCCTTCATCAATTCTATGAAGGCTATGAAGAGTGGCCGCTTCTGCTCCCTGCATTTCTCCTGCAGTTGTCTGAGGGAAAAGCCCATGTCGATGCTGGACCTATTAACATGGAATCCGAACTGTGACTCTGGGTAGATTCTCTGCAAGTACTTGGAGCCTCTTCAATGTGACTCGAGCAGGCCGCTTTCCAACAATACTGAAAAGGGAGATGCCACGGTAATTGTTGCACTTGCCCCTGTCACCTCTATTCTTGTTCAGCGTGATGTTGTTGGCACCATTCAAGTTCTGTGGCACCTCTCCTTCTCTCCAGCAGAGGCAGAGGATGTCGTGCAACTATATGAGTAGGTTACCTTTGAAGCACTACAAGACCTCTGCAAGAATGACGTCTTTTCCAGAAGCTTTGCCAGAACCAAGGGAATCTAGGGGCTTCCCTGAGATTTTCGAGGGTCAGTTAGCTGTTGAGCTCCTTTTACACAGGCAGACAATGGCGCTCAGGGCATTTTCGGTGACCACATTCTCCCTGGCGTATAGCTCGGAGTAGTGCTCGACCCAGCACTTCTGCTGCAGTGTCTGGTCCTGAATCACGCATAAATCGCCTGTGGCAGACTTCAGGGGGGGGCGGTCTTCTTCAGGATTGGGCCAAGGACCTGTTTGATGCCGTCATACGTCCCCTTTACATTGCCTGTATCTGGAAGCAGAGTTGGAGCCAATAGTCGTTGGAGCATCGCCTGGCGCTCTGCTGCACTTTGCAGCGGACAGCTCGAAGGATCTGCAAGTTGCGCTGACTTGGGCAGGCTTTGTAGGGTACAAAGGCGTTTCTCTTCTCTCTGAGGACTGGTGTTAGTTATTCCGAAAGAGCCTCGAACTAATCTGCCTATCGGCTGGTCTTCTTGCCGAAGGTGGACATGGCAGCATTGAACACAGCATCTCTGAAGTGCTCCCATATTTTGTGGGCGTTGGCCCCAGCCGGGCCCGGGAGAGCTTCCTCGAGATCACGTGCAAAATCTTCCACCTTGTCCTGATAACGGGTCTTGCTGTTGTCAATGTGAGATCTGCCCAACTTTTTCGAGTGATGAATCTTCTTTGTTTGCATCTTGACCTTGCTACACACCAAGAAGTGGTCGGTGTCACAGACAGCACTCTGGTAGCTTCGCGTAATTTTGATACTGGGGTAGACTTGCACGCCTGGTTAGAATCAGGTCAAGCTGGTGCTAGTTCTTGGATCTGGGGTGTCTATATGAGATTTGGTATTGAGGCTTTATGCCGAAGAAAATGTTGGTTACACAGAAACCATGAAGACAGCAAAGTTCTAGCAGACGTCGCCCGTTCTTGTTCATCCATTCAATGCCGAAATGACCCAGGCAAGTGGGCCAAGAGTTGTCATTCGCACCCACTCTGGCGTTGAAGTCGCCGAGGATGAACAGTTGCTCCTTTACAAAAATTCTCACTATGACTCTGATGAGTTCATCATAGAATTTTTCATTCACTTCTGCTGAAGAAGTCAGGGTTGATGAATATGCACTAATTACACTGACTGGTCTTGTTTAGGAGTGTAGCTGGAGAGACAAAATTCATCCAGTTCCCCCGTCTTTGTTATGATGTGTTCTAATAGTGCATTCCTGACGGCGAATCCCACACCGTGTTCTCTGGTCTCGTTTGGAGGTTTTCCTTGCCAGAAGAAGGAGAAGGCTCTCTCTCACACAGTTTCTAATCCTGAGAGCCTGATCTCTTGGAGAGGAACGATATCCATTTGCAGTCTGCTCGGCTCCCTGCCTATCGATGACTGCTGTTTTTCGAGCGTTGTTGATTTCTTGGAGGTCGTCAGAAAAACCTGGTGTCATTGTCCTGACGTTCTATGTGCCCAACCATGGGAAGTTGATATTTTCTTTTTGGGCTTGTTATTGCTTGGTGCAAAGTTGTACGTCGGCTTGTCGGTTTTCACCCTAAACTCCATTCCCCCAGTGAGGTTAACGGACCGTGGCGAAGCAACCCCTTACTGGCAAGGGTTTGCCCAGTTTGAGGTGGGCGGTAGCTGCCCAATAGGGCGCGATGACCCCTCCAACCATTGGAAGCAACCTCTGGCGTCACGCTCATCACCAATCGAGCAGACGTATAACCAGTAGGCTGTCGCTTCCCCTGTTGGTTCGACGCTATGAGGCGAGGCTGGAGTGTCCTCTTCAGGGCGTAAAGCCTGGGTAGATCGATATGGAGATGTACACAATCAAAGTGAAGCTGTTACCCATGCAGCAGGTCCCCCCTCTCCTCGTTGCTGAAAATGTTTAATGGAAAGTGAAACACCATTACGCTTGGTTATGTCGCAGGAGCTGCCAGAACGAGGTTGAGGTCAACAACGAACTTCCTTAGGGGTTCAAACTCCGGATTTTTACTCAAGGTAAAGGGGTGCCTGACAGCTGAGTGGACAGCGCTTCGGATTCGTAGTCCTGAGGTTCCGGGTTCGATCCCCGGTGGAGGCGGAGACAAATGGGCAAAAAAGTTTCTTTCACCCTGATGCTCCTGTTACCTAGCAGTAAATAGGTACCTGGGAGTTAGACAGCTGCTACGGGCTGCTTCCTGGGGGTGTGTAACAAAAAGGAGGCCTGGTCGAGGACCGGGCCGCGGGGACGCTAAGCCCCGAAATCATCTCAAGATAACCTCAAGAAGGTTGACTCCTAAAGCCTTTCCCATAATTTGTATGGCCGCAAGGCAGAGGTTTGAAATCAGGGTTTTCTTTCCCCCCTAGATAAGCTGCCTTCCTTGACTGTCGAGTCCCATCTACCCGGAGCAGCTGGTTTTAAGGCGCCAGAGGCACGACCTCACCCCTTCTCGTCAGTAAAAGCCGTTCCGCCGAACTTAGAGACTAAGCCACCCGGGCAGGCCCGGAGTTGGTTGTTAGAGGCTATTTGAGACGCACGCCGTAAAAGAGCTTTTTATAGGTCGTGGGAGCTCGTCCTCCATTACCACCCCCAGGCTATGACAACCCATGGAACCTGTCTCAGTTCAGGTTAACTATTTTGTTT